ACCAGAAGACTACACTGGTTTCCACTCCTGTCAGCCAAGAACAAGAATCTGAGGCTATCATGGAGACAGACTCACCCAAACTGGACAGTTGAAGATTAGAAAACATATCACCTGGTCTTTTTCCAGTCTTTAGGTTTCCGTAAACAGCTGTATACCCAAAATTTGTTGTGTGCCATTACACAAAGATTGCTGTCTCGTCATGGTTAAACCAAGCGAATTTTTAAAAAATGGTGTTTTTGCAATGTCAATACATAGAGGTAATCATTCAAACTGCCTATATGAGCAGGTGTACAGGTGTACCTAATAAAGTAGACAGTGAGTGTACATGCTAGCAATGAGTAACAAATTGAAGTAAAGTACACAGAAAGCACACCAAAATCACATCTCTGCCTTTTGTCGTACAGCATGGGGATGAATATTTCACTAAAATGCTGTTTTACTGCAACCTTTCAGTTGTAAGTTTCAAAAACAGTGCATTAGACAAGCAGGGACACTCTCTTTTTTACACCCCTTAAATTATTTTATGATAGTTCCCAAATGTGGAATTATCCGTGGATGATTAATATAACACGCATACAGCACAGTTCTTTATTTAGGGCTCAATTAACATTGGTTTACACAGTAACTGCTCTAAAATGAGGTTCAGAAAAAGTCAGCAAAGTCATCTTCACAATTCCTCCATAATTAAATGACCCAGATGTCAAATGAATGCCTCCTATAGTTTGTTTAATCACATTCCCTTGGCTACAAGGTACGATGATCAGAAACAGGATTAACCAATCAGGATCATGCATTTTTCCCATTTCTGTTTGAAAGCTACAAGCCAGCTCTGATGTGTAATGTACTGGAGGTTTACTGCAGGAGGAGAAAAAGAAGTGGAGGTCTAGTTTTACAGGGGAAGATGACATTTTTCAGCTATTCCTATCATATTATTTGAATAAATTTCAGTCGAACTGTTTAAAGGAGTTTTATTTCTTACACCTACAAATGTTATTAATATGGCAAGAGTAGTTGATGCATTAAATAATTAAATGACAAATTCTGAATACCATCTCTGCTTCTACTACTGCCTGGTATCCAGCCAAAATGTATCACACTTATAAACACATGTGCCAAAGGTTGTATTGATTCTCAGCCAGTTTCCTTTCTGATTTGTGCCAGACCCCAAACTTGTAAATCAATATCATATCGCAGAATTCTGGACTGGTTTTCTGAGGTTAATTTGTTTTTCCTTCCATCCATAATTTACACTTGTACAACGTCTGGCTAAAATCCATCTGTCACCTCCTGAAGTGACGTTTTAAATGCATTGTCGTCTTGGCTGCATTTATACCTGCACTTGTGCTGTGATTTGTATTTGGACGTAATGTTGACACTCAGAAATGGAATCTTAAAAATATGCAAACCCTAACACTCAATCAGAGTTGATATGTTTATTGTGCATATCTGTGTAGCTGTTATGTTATTATTGGAACATTGATTTAATTTCAGCAAGTCCTTGAGGATGATCACAGGAATCCATGCTCCTTTAATCTACTCTGTGTAACTAAGTTATGGTCCATTAGTGAACATTTTACCTCATCTGTCATTAGAGTGGCCATGGAGCGTCCGATCTCGTGGTACTGAGGACCTTTTCCATATGGCCCTAGTAATAGAAACAGGAACCTGGCCCACACACAAACCCACACACACACACACACACACACACAGAATCTCATGAGAACGGTTATACTGGGTAGTAAATAATATTAAAGTATGTAAACAATGTATGCTAAAGACACATTATACCACAGCACTGCTGAATGCTCAGTTCTCATTGGTCAGAAGGTGTTGATTAATTTTCTGTAACGTCTCTGACAAGAGTGTTGGCTGCCAAGCAAATCAGAGCTTTACTTTGCTGCACTCATTCTTAAACTTTATTGTTTCTATAGTAACAGCTCGTTCACCATGAATTTATAATACTTTAATATCATTGATATAATTTAACATTTATGGAAGGCGTCTCCAGTGTCAGTGCTTTGTAAAAGTCAGGAAGTTTTCCACGACAAGAAAGTCTTCTGAACAGAGAACTTTACGCTTCCTGGTTTCTCGGTAACATGACAAGTTGCAATTTCTTTTCCCTTATTAGTAACTTCATGAGTGAGATAAAAGTGAGGGAACGACTGTTTACAGCTGCTATAGCTAAGTGATAACAGGAATCAACTATTTTTGCTGATGTTCCAACAACAGTAAATGTAACTATAAAAGGATAAAAAGTATAACGTTAAGGTTTAGAATGAAAACAAAATGAATAGTTGTTGTGGTATAGGAGATAAAAAACATTGCTGATATAGGAAAGTAATCAACTTCGTGGTGTTAACAGTAACTCCACTTCACGTCAGGCCGCATCACACCACCCAGTCACTGATTATTTTCCTGTCACAGCACAGAGTGTTTTATTCCGTACTTAGCTAACACATCTACATAATCATTTTCTAAATAATGCATAGTGCAATCAAGCTTGGAAGACGTTACTGTGTGTTGTAAATCTATTTTGTGAATTATACTACCTTCCATCTCTCATATTACTGTTTACTCATATTACATATTACAGATTACCTGGTTGGCACAGGCACTTCCGTGAGTCCCGTGAGCAGCACAGCAGGCGAGAGACGAACAAAGGCTATGATCGGTTTCTCCAGGAAATCCACTTCACCTACCAGCACGTTCGAGGCCTCCGCCCCTGGAGGAATCTTCTTCATGAAGTTCATGTCCACCTGAGAGAAGGAAATATGAGAGAGGAAGAGAGGATGCTTCTTATTTCTTAATGTTAGGGAACACGAACAGGAGGAATCAACACCATATGCATGTCAATTACTGCTGTATCACCTGTCAGTGAAACACAAAAACCACAAAACTGATGATTGATGACCATCAGTTAAAAAGTTCACACGCATACATCACACGCATACATGCTTAAATGTTGATGTTTTATCATATACTGTACATGTTTATCATATCTTTATCACATACAACACAGATTCTCCTCATCACTTGAGTTCTCATGTGGACATATACAGTATACAGTATGTCAGACACATTATAATCTCTTACCCCTGATTTTTATTTGTATCAACTGTTTCTTATTTAAATAATATAATTCATTTTGTCCTCATCATATATTGGATTATTTTGTCGGTCCAACTTTATATGAAGAGTCTCAAATAACTGTGTAGTTACACTATAAACTATAAATTACACAAGCAACTGTAATGTCATTACTAAGGATGTTTTTTTTTACTGTACATCTTAATGCACTTATAAATCACACAGGAACTGTGCACTTATAAAGCGTAACTTTTTATTTAAAAAAATACACTGAAATATTTGCAGGAAATGGGTGATATGGTGATATAAAATTGATATCAGGATAAATTATGTGACAATACACTTTTCTGATTATTGTGGATATTGTGATATATTTTTATGATTTTTTTTAATAATTAAAAACTGAGTGGAAGCAGCTGATATGATGTTAAAATGCATTTTAAAAATGTAAAATGTTGAAATTTTTACAGATTTTTTAATTAAAAAAATTAACTAAAATTACAGGTTTTAAAAATAAGTATTAATTGTAACATTCAGTGTTAAAATTTTGCACTTTAAAACTGTAAAATGTTAGATTTTAATTTTTTTTCCTCCTCTACAGTATTCAGAATTTTTAGGTTTTTTTACATGTATGAAAACGTGAGAACAGACATCAAATACAATATTGTCAAAATCAAGGTGCACTAACACAAGCAAAAAACAATCTGACAAACGCACACGTACTTAAATAAACATCCAGCGTCGTTACATTATAATTAATACAGTTATATAATACACAGTAATTAAATACATTTAATATAAAATGGGACCTGTGTATCCTTCATCTGACAGCGACCGCTCTCATTGTTCCTTAATTTCCCAAAGTGCATTTATAGATGACAGATTTCGCTTGATTAAAGGACGGAGAATCAAGGAGTCAAGGAGACATCAATTACTGTGAATCACGCAGAGAATTTCAAAACCCTTCAGGACCAAAATACAGCGTGGTCTAAATGAGAGCTTTTCCACAACAGTGCCTTTTTCCTATTTTTCAACAAAATGCAAAGTCTATGAAGGTTGTTCTGCATGTTTTAGGCTACCGGGGTTTAGACTCACCAGCTGCAGTGCCTTATCAGATTTAAAGAGTGAGTCTACACTATTTTACACTTTCACTTACTTTTACTTAAGTGAAAATATAGATAATGTGTAAAAAAAAAAAAAAAAAAAAAAAAAGCTTCATTAAAAAATGAAGTACTCCAGTGAAAGTACAAAGTTGCTACTTTCAAATATAATCAAGTATTAAAAAGTAAAACTAATGGAATTAAATTAATGTTAAATTAATTCCATGTGAAAAGTAACTTTTTTTTTTTTTTACTTATCTTACTTATCAGTTTTGTTTTAAATCAATGTCTAGCAGACAGTTATTGGTTGGATGAAAGAATTTGTACATGCTTGGTGAAGGTCTACATAAAAAAGGAGTAAGGAGTAAAAAATTCATGGAAATGTAATTAAGTAAGATTCAATGTCAATAATACTCAAGTAAAGTATAAATACATCAAAATAATAAAGTATACTACAGTAAATTACTGAAGTATTCTCCACCCCTGACTTTCAGACATGAATGATGAGTTGGTGAAATTGCCTGAATAACACTTTATAGTGAATAATGTGTGGTTTTGGACATTCTGGACTTCTGTGGATCCATGAACAGAGGACATGAATAAGTTAAGCAGCGTTTACATGATGGAAAATTCCAGTGAATACACACAGTGTGGTCTTGTCTGAGACAATAAACAGTATCCAAGAGCGAGACATAAAACAAATCCTGGGCAAAAATGCTTGTACATTCAAACACTGGTGGATATTTTTTTATATCTTGCTGGAGAACAAATGTCCCCACAAGGATAGGAATATCTGACGGTTAGACATCTTTGTCCCTGGTGGTCCAGCAGCTAAGGATCCCGCGCTCTCAATGCCGTGGCCTGGGTTCGATTCCTGGGCAGGGGACCAACCCAGCCACTGGGAGCGTACTCTCAGTGCCGGTCCCAAGCCCGGATAATATGGGAGGGTTGCATCTGGTGTAAAACCTGTGCCAAATCAAAACATACTGACCAACGATCCGCTGTGGCGACCCCTAACAGGAATATTCGTCTGGGCCCCACAAGCAAAACTTTTATCTTATTTTTAAGTTTTGTAGCTTTTATTAAAAAAAAAAAAAAAAAAAAAAAAAAAAAGATCCAAAAGATTTCCTTTTGGTTACTGAGGTTTACGTTAGGTGTAGCATAGCATTAATTAGCTGCCTTAATTATTATTTATTAATTATTGAAAGTCCTGACAAGGATAGTAAGACAATCATGTGTGTATATTAAATAAGTCTGGTTTTATGTTTAAGTGGAGTGTCACCACGTTATTGGTGCTCCTCCTGTGATATCCAGAAGCTAAAACTTCGTGAAACGTTATCATTCCTGATGTTGACATTTCTCTATAAGGCAGAAGGCATGGAAGTTTTTTTTTTCAGCGGTTAATGCTAACTGTAATTACAGTGTCATTTTAGTCATACGGAGTCTTTTCTTGGTATTTGACCAACACATCTGAGGGAAATGTAAATGTTCCTGGTGATTTTGTTTCATTTCTACTGTCACTCTACTGTCACCTTTACACTGCTCATATAAAAGACTTAAAGGCTATATGCTAGCTAGCTAAATCGTCTCAGTTGTTAGCTTATTAGCTAGCTTGAGCTTGTTGTCCCCGTTGCTTAGCAACAGTGTTGTTACAACTATAACCACTATATTGTGTTTGCATTCCTATGTTGTGTGTGTGTGTGTGTGTGGGGTGTGTGTTACCTTGCTAAGATCTAAAGTGCTGCCATCTTTGCTGTTGCCTGACTTGGCTGATCTGTTTTCACTCAACCTTCCTGCATCCACAGAGCCAGAGAGAGAAGAAGACGACGCCAACGTACCTGAGAGAGAGAATGCACAAGCGTGATAAACAGAAGGAGAAAAGTTGCTTCTCAAAATGGCAAAAACAAGCACAAGCAGATGTTCAGCACCACATGATCTTTCACCAGGTGGCCACATTTTTGATTTTCTCCCAAATTACTATTATGAAATATTCATGTACTAGCTGAGTCACGAGTAACACAGAATAAACTCGATACTGCTGCTGTCTCAGTATGACAATATTCACTTAGCCAGAATAGCCTAATGATAAAAGTGTTTTTAAACCCAGACAGCACGTGCCCTTGGCTCCCGGCCATGGATGGCTGTGTCATTGGGTTGATAGTTGCGATTTCCCGACAATAGTCCGAATGTTGTTTTTCTGTTGCATTGGATTTTTTAAGCTACTGCACTCTCAAGAAAGGTACTTAAAATAATATCCCTGCTGAAAAACCCAGCTTGGTCTGACCAGCAGCCAAAGCACAGGATGAGCTGGCCAAATTGGTAGACCATCTTTGCCAGCTACGATAACACAGCAGTAAGACGATTAGTAAATCTCATTCTCAAAATATGTATTGCTTAGTCAAGTAATAAGGAAGCTGAAAAAAAACCTTATGATGCAGACTATTAAAACAACTACATATTGTCTACAAACTAACAAACTGTCTACAAAGAATGAATAAATTGAAAACCAAAGACAAAAATCTGTTTAAATTCCCATCACGTTCTCTTCCTAATGTCACCTCAGCTCATTTGTCGATGACCACAGAAGTAAATATCACCAGGGGTTCTATGGTACACTGGTACTTCACATGAATTACACAGTTTGTCCTTGATTTAATCTACTCATCGGACTTGTTCATGCTGGACTCATGCTGGAAAAGGGTGTCGTGGTGTACATGGGCACCTGAGCAGGTTGGCATTCCTCAGTCAGCAATGTGGTACTAGGGACAGACTATCCAAAGCAGAACACATGCCAGAGATGCCAACACGCCTTTATTCAGAGATTAACTGAAGAATGCACACTAAATAAACACACATACCACACTCACCACAAACTCACCATCCCTCACAAACACCGTTTTGCTGGTAAACACATACACACACGTGTATATACAGTACATGTACTTTTCTAATATATACTAATTAACATGTAAAGCCTGAGAAAGTGCTTCTTATGCAGAATAGTCTAAAAACTTGAGGACAGACTGAATGCCCACAGAGGTGTACAGGTTTGTCTTAAACACTCCTGGGAGCACAGGCACTGAGGAAAGCTGAGTAGGGCATAAATAAAGTATAACAGTGGGAAACTGTCCATGTAGTCTTAAAATAATGTCGATGGGAAAGTTTACTGTATAACCAAAAAAACATAACAAGGCATGTGGGCACACATACACACATCCACACATCCACATCCACAGACACACACACACAGCAGGGTAGAGAATGGGTCTTGTTTTCCCAGATTGTTAGAGCTGAAGTTATTTTGCAAATTGAAATGTTTATGGAGCCATTACACACATTCATCGACACAGAGATTAATGACAATGGCAAGATGCCAGGAGAAAGCATATAAAGCAATGGATGGATGGATGGATGGATGGATGGATAAATAAAGAAAGTAGAGCATGCATACACTTTGGGACATAAAACAGGTCCAAAGATATGATAATATGACAAATGGACATGGAGACCAATTGGTGATTGGTGCTCAAAAGGGAGGAATAGAAAGGTGAGAATGATATGAAGGAAAAGAGTGTCTGATGAAAATATGGAGGGATGAGTAACTGCGTCTGTTCATGCCATCACTCACACAAATACTTGTCTTCACCAGCTCTGAGATCCAGAAAGTCTTCCTCCGACTCTTCTTCCTCCTCTGGTGGAGACACCACAACCTCAGGGATTTCCAGATGGACTTGTGGGGCTCCGTCAGTCGAGTCAAAGTGTCGAGAAGATGGTGGGGTGCTCTGTGGGGTGGGGACGGGGCTGGGGGTGGTACCATGGCTGGGGCCAGGGAGGAGATGGTTCAGGAGCATGGAGACTCGCGAGTCGCTCCTCTGGGACAGGTTGGAAATGGAGCCGCCCAGTTTCAGAAGAGAGTTACGAGATGTGGACAAACCCTCACCTAGCAAGAGGAGAGAGGACGAAGAGGAAAGGGGGAATGGTTTAAAAGGAAAGGGGCATTCTGGGAAGTCATAAGGGATGCAGAGGCATGCAGTAAGGATATGAGGACGTGTTCAATTGCTTGTCTGGTTATGAGAAACAGGAAGGGGATACAAAAGAAAGCAGAACTGAAAGAGATCCAGAATGTCTCTTCTGGGGATGGAAAATATGCCATGCAGGGAAAGGGACAGAAAATTGCCCCCAAAATTCCCATGATATAATATACATGCTAATCGCACAATGCATCATGGGTAAAATGCAGAATCAACACTGGCTGTGCAGGAGAATACAGTAATTAACATATAAGTGTTAGTGTTTCTAAAAATCACCAAGTGTCCATTACTGATATTAGTAGAAAATTCTACATTAAAGCACACCATGCAATCATAATAAGCATAGTGCGACTGAAATTATTGAACCATACACTGTAGAGAGAAAGTCCAAATTCCAGAATCAAGTCCTTTCTCAAGATGAACATCATGCTCCAATCAACTGGCAAGACGTTTAGTGCAAGCGAAGAGCAGATACGAGCATCGAGCAGCCCTATCCGCACCGAGCACCACCAAGTACTCACTGTTTAAAGCCTGAGTGATACTGCTTATTTACTGCAAATAATCACAGTCTAGTCCAAGGCAGCCCAGTTTATCCTTGCTAATGGTCACGCAAAAAAAGATGGCATGGGTAAAACATACAAATTAAAGAATGCCGTAGGGGATGTGTGCAATGCAGTGGATGATTGCAAGAGTCATGGAAGCACCAAAACAGGATGAATTGCATATTTAATCAATATTGTTTATAGGGCTGGGTGATAAAATGACATGACTCCATTGTTTCTCACAGTAACAGGCTGTATCAAATGATTTATATCATATGATTTATTTTTGTGAAGTGTAACTGATTTTTAAATGTGACAGTACTGTTCTGCAGGCACATAGATAACGAACCTAAATGTCAAAATATATAGAAGAGTAACAAATTAAAGGAAAAACCAACATAATGTGTCTTTGTAGCTGCCAGAACAGCTTTAGTACATCTTGGTATAGGTTCTACAAGACTCTGGAACTGTACTGGATCGATGAACACCGTTCTTCTCAAAGCGTTTTACTCAGGTTTAGATTTTTTCATTCAGGTTTTGATGACATATGTGTTCAACTGGGTTGCGATCCGGTGAGTGTGAAGGCCATAGCATATGATTTACTTCAATTTCATCCTCATCAAACTATACAGTGGGCCCTTGTTCCCTGTGGATGGGGCGGAGTCATCCAAGAAGAGGCCACACCTATCAGAATATAAATGTTTCATAATAGGATAAAGGTGATCAGTCAGAAGAACTTCGTATAGATTTGCAGTGATGTTTCCCTTGAAGGGGACAAGTGGAGTCAAACAAATAAATGCTCCCAAAACATAACAACATAACAGACCCACTGGGTTTTCCTTTAATTTGTCACCACTCTGTATATTGTGTATTGTGTAAATGTCTTCATTATTGTAATAGGATACATTTCCTATATTGCCAACCCCTCAAATCAAATATATAACCCATTTTCATATGTGGTCCTTGATTGGATACAGTACATACCCAGTATGTAGCAAGAACAAGAACTATCGGATTGGAATTCATGTATTTTTTTTTCTTTAATCATGCTTCAATGCACAGATTACAGATGGTGCTTCTCCAGCAGTCACAAATCTCTCAGAACAGAAATACATTTCCATGTGCATTGTTTCTGTTTCAGTCCTGTCTTTGCCCCTGTCCTGTTATTGGTTTGTTACCCTATTGTGTACACCTGTTCTATGTTTAGTCCTTGAATACTTTGTCTATTTTTGTGTACACCTGTTCTGTGTTTAGACCTTGAATACTTTGTCTATTTATAAATTTCTGTTTGTCTCAGCAGGATATAAATAGAC